ACCAGATATCTGGCCTCAAGATATCTAAATTTTAGAGTGAATGTCTTCAAGCTAGTGTCTAAGGGCTGAAAAAGATAATCCCTTCTCCCGTTGTACACAAATCCACATGTTTTTTTATATTGACAATAACAAAATATTTTCACTGTTAAAATAGCGTTCAATACATAAATCGTATAACAAAGAAAGAAGTGGGGGGTGTCCAAGTTTAGATTATTCATTGATCCCATTGGAAAGTTTGCAATCTGATAATCCAATGGAGTTAAATGGAGGGCATATTGGCTGTAGACTGTGTTAGGTCCGGGTTGGTGCTGAGTTGGTTGAACATTAAGTAGTCGAAGTCAAGATTTCGACTGGAGTATCTCGGTAAATGGAATTGAGAGGCAACTGGTGTGTCCCTCTTAGGATAAATAGGTTCACTTCTTTAGCATTAGCTTGGTTGGTGGAAAAGTAGACTCTTAGTCTTTTAGCGGATGGATTTTCTTCTGGTTATAAATTCTGAGTTTTAAAATAAATTGTAGATCGATAGAGATATAAATATTTGAATTATTTTAACAATGGCTTTTTTTTTTTTTTAACTCTTCTTTCAAAATATGATGTAAATATTTCCAAAGTTACAGGGTTTCAATCCAATTACAGGTAGTGATGCTAGTTAGAGGGGCTGGCGTGAAACACAAATAGTTACTTTGTAACTAATGAATATATGATAGTTCATTGTAGTTTGCTTAATTTGACACTAAAATATAAGGAAACCCATCTTTAAGATTGTAGGATAGCTTACTTTGTAACTAATGAGGTTGTGATTTTAAAAACGCCTTAACAGATGGTAAATAAAAAAGAGCAGACTGATCCTGCTGTCCATGTAAAATTCACTCATTGCACACTGCATCTTCATTAGCCTGATTAGATGCCACAAAATTTGAGATTTCATGAAATAATTTTGTTATACGCCCACATTATAATGTCCGTCGATTTGTCTGTCCACAATTGGCTTGTGAACGCAATATAGACAACAGTTTTAAATGAAATTTGGTGTGATAATTTATATTCGTGAGATCTTGGACAAGTTCGAATATGATGGTCTTTCGATGAATGGTTTTTGAGTTATTGCCCTTGACTTATGAAAAATGCATCAAAATTTGGTTGTGAACACAATAGAGATTACATTTTTCATCCAATTTGAATGAAATTTGGTGTGAATATTTATAATAATGAAATCCTGGACAAGTTCGAATTTGACGATCTTTCAATGAACGGTTTGAGTTATTGCCCTTGATTTATAAAAAGCGCGTCAAAATTTGTTTGTGAACACAATGGAGAGTACAGTTTTCATCTGATTTACATGAAATTTGGTATGATCATTTATATTGATGAGATCTTAGTCAAGATTGAATTTGACAATTTTTCGATCAATGGAATTTGAGTTATTGCCCATGACTTAGTAAAAACGCATCAAAATTTGTTAGCGATAGAGGTGACAGTTTATGTCAGAATTTTATTAAATAATGTGTATTTGTTTAAATCAACAATATCTTGCACAAATTAGAATTTTGGTATGATTTAACACAGATAGGTGACTGCCCTTGATATACTGAAAATGTATCAGGAAAGTGGGCGTATCTTGCTAGCCAACCACCCATTAGTATTACAGTGATTATAGATGATATAATATAATATTTTATTTTTTTTTAGGATTGGAATTTTAAGTGGTCTGACGTCTTGGTCGCGATTACGAGGAGCATCAGATGATGATTGGATAGATAGACTCAACCATATTTGGACTGTGGTGTTGTTAGCCATCTTTACAGTGGTTGTAAGCTCGGCGCAGTATGTGGGAGATCCCATTCATTGTTGGTGCCCGGCTCAGTTTACAGGAGCATATGTTGCCTATGCTAAGCAAATCTGTTGGATTTCCAACACGTACTATGTGCCTATGGATAACGAAATTCCAGTTCAAATCACAGAACGCCAAGATCGTGAAATTACATACTACCAATGGGTGCCGATTATTTTTCTATTCATGGCCTTAATGTTCAAAATTCCCAATCTTCTGTGGAGAATGCTGAATAATGGAGGTGGATTGAACATGGATAGAATGATCACCATGACAGCAGATATGCAAATTTGTAGTCCGAACCAAAGAGACGAAAATATCCGACATATCGCGAAATACATGGATCGTTGGTTGAAAGCTAATCGTCAATATCATTTTAACATTATTGTACGTGCCCGACAGAAGTTAAGTGGAATCTGCTGTTTCTGGTTTGGAAAGCGGGAAGGAACATACATCACTGGTTTTTATCTGCTTGTAAAGTTGTTGTACGTCTTGAATATTATTGGTCAGTTTTATCTACTGAATGCCTTTATGAGTATGGAATACAACATGTATGGTTTTGAAATTATGAAAAAATTGGCGCAGTCTGAGCCTTGGAGCGAATCACATCGTTTTCCTCGTGTAACTCTGTGTGATTTTGAAATACGACAATTGCAGAACATTCAACGTTTCACTGTTCAGTGTGTTTTACCCATAAATCTCTTCAATGAAAAAATCTTCATTTTTATCTGGTTCTGGCTATTTTTTATTGCCGTGCTTACGAGCATCAATTATGTGAATTGGTTATATCACGTCCTTGTTAAGCAAAATCGTGCCAAATACGTTAAAAAATATTTAAAACTCAATGACGAAATCAGGTCATCTGGTGATTTGAAACTTTGTCGGAAATTTGCAGATGAATATCTACGAGACGATGGCGTCTTTGTGCTGAAAATCGTTTCGAAAAATTCTTCGGAAATAGTGTTGAAAGACTTGGTTTTGTATCTATGGCGTTTGTACAAAAGTGACCCAAAAACACCAGTCATTAAACCCACTACTGAAAATCATCAAGAAGAACCAGAAGATGTCAAAGAAGCTTTGGAATAGATCCGAAATGATTAACTTCTAGTGATCTTAACTAAAATATTTTAATTACTGTCTTTTCGATACGAGCCAATCAGATTTCTTTTTTTTGTAAGGCTCAGTTTCAGAAAGTTTATTTCGAAAAAAAAAAGTAATTTGATTGGTCGATTCAAATTTATTTTAAATATTAAAAAAGTCTTATTGACTTATAAAGTGAAAATTATACGTAAAAAGTGGCCATTTTTGCACGAAATTTCGATTGTTTGTGTTTTTTGCCAATTCATTATAATTTTTTTTTTTATACATGTATTTTCTAGTCAATTACGTCTGTCTCAAAAATGTTCATGTTGTAATGCTCAGAATTTTGATAATTTGCTACCCGAAGAGCTCAAAATAAGGGCATAAACCTATTTTTTATATTTTACATTCTTATTTAAACATTTTCATAATTATGCACATTTAATAATTATGCGCATTTTGTATCTAATTATGCAAATATCTTGTGCCTTTATATCATGTTATATGCAATGTCTTGCATTTTAAGACTAATCATATTCAAAATTCTTTCCTGAATTTAAAGAGAACGGTGCCTCACATACGACATTTTCCACTTGATATTTTGAATTACAAACTTAAATTTTCACCTAGGTGAAAGTTAGGTGATAATTCCTGTAATTTTGAATTAAAAACTTTAATTTTTCACCAAGGTGATAATTCAAAAATTTTGAAATAAAAACTTTTTTTTTGCCAAGGTTTGTAATTCAAAATTACAGGAATTATCACCTAATTTTCACCTCGGTGAAATTTAAAGTTTTTAATTAAAAACTAAAAATGAAATATGTCATATGTGAGCCACCATAAAAGGGAGTGAGCTATAATATTTTTTTATATTTTTCTCATCTTGTGATGATTGATATTTAAAGTGATACTACGTCTTAGAATGAACATAAAATTTAAGTTCTCGAAAAGGTCAATATGAGTATATATTCATCAGTGAACTTACCTGGTGTCATAAAGTTACAACAGAATCCCTGTAAAATCTAGAAAATTGAAAAATTCATAAAACTAAGTAATTATTGAAAAGCGCTTAATCTTGATATTAAGTGTTTTTCAATAGTTAATTGCATATTTATGGATAATTATTAAGTTTTTTGGATTTATCAGATTATATAAGGATCCTGTTATGTTATTTATGACACCAGGTATATCTACTGGCTCTTATTCGCCAAGTTTAAAATTCTTAAATTTTATGTTAATTCTAAGACGTAGTATCCCTTTAAAGTTCAACATAATTTAGCATTGCTTTGATAAATGCTATTGGTTAAAAGTTATCAAGGGTTAGGTGTTGAAATATACTGAAACTCTTTAGGCCTTCTGATAATGTTGTTTATTCCTATATTTCATTATCATTTGCTGGTATAAGGGACCAATTACTATTATATAAAGCAATTGATAATTAACTCTAATACTTAAACTGTCAAAGCACCTAATGCCACTCTGCAATTGGATTTTTCACATTTGCAATATATAATATATCCTATAAATGCAAATATTATGTGCAAGCATTTTGGCAAGTCCTTGTCTGGTAGAAAAATGGGCACAGATGCATAGTGGCATCAGGTGATCTGAAAAATAATATTATCAAGTCTTATATTAGTTTTGTTAATTAAAAAGAGATTAATGGTAATGATAATTAAGGGTTGAGAGGTTGTTTATTATCGCAGGTCAAAGGTTAAAGTTTATTTTTAATGAGGAATATTAAAATCCTATTCAATGTCCAATTTGATATTTGTTAATACAACCACGTCAAAACCTGTATGATATATTTATTGCAGGCCTGTGCAACCTTTCCGCAACGCCGGGCCACATTTGGAAAATGCAAGTAGACCAACCATCAATGAATCATGGGATTAACAATGAGAAACATGCAAGTCATTTATGCAATAACGTATTTCAATGTGCATCGCTAATTAACAGACATATTTGACGTAAAATCTTTAGCGATTTGATTGGTTAGATTCATTTTGACGTCATCCTTTGATAAACAGCGCAGATATAACAGGTTTCGATACCAGAATAGGTGAGGCAAACTGCAGGTCATGCTGACAGTGACAAGAGCAAACGAAGCATTTCCTCGCGGGCTGTATTTCCCTCAAATTTTACATGATGCCGCGGGCCGCACGAAATCATCTCGCGGACAGCAGTTGGCCCGTGGACCGTAGGTTGCACAGGCCTAATTTTATTTAGTCCAATACATGCCTTTTATTGATTTCAGAAAAATGCTGCGCATTCCTCATAAAACATTCTACTTAAGCGTTATATTTCAAAAAAATTTATTGTTTTTTTTAATCAATTTACATATAGAGCCAGTGCTTATCATTTTGTTATACTTAGTGCTTTGGTATATTTTTGGTTTTGCCTTGCTCGTTCCATGGATGTTCGTTTATTTTGATATTTACTTTGCGTTGTACTTTTAACTTCTGAGATTCATTCATTCTTGAGGAATGATTCAAAGCTTTTGGATACTATGGTCTAATTCATTTCTCTACCTACCAGTTGTTAAGGCTCCCGCATGCTACTTTCTCACCACACTACTCTCCGTACACGACGCGCCTTTTGCTCAACTATACCTGACGTCATCACATGATCAATCAAAATGGCGGACTACTACAGTGATAGTCACGCTTGTCTTTGTCTTTGAATTTTGGCGATCGGATATTATAAAGGCAGGGGTAATCTTGCCATAATTTAACAAATTGAACCTCAAGGATTGATTCTGTCACCTCTTCACTGGGCGCCGCCATCTTTGAGTACCAATAACGCATGCGCGCTGTGTTCGTCGTCTGAGAAAGTCGCGCACGGTAACCCGCACACTGTGTGCCATCGGCCACGAGTGGTCAAAAATATTAAACACGATAGATATTTTCCAGACGACCAAGACTGGCCAAATGCACACTAAAAATTACCCGCGGGCAAAGCGCTACTAGTTGAGCGTACTTGGCGCTGCGCCATTTTCTTTCCGTGTGCGGGTGCTTTTAGAGCTTAGTTTGAGCTATCTATATCACTGTTTAATAAGCACAAATGTTGTTTGTCTGCAATTAAACCTTCATCACCTTAATTGCAGACAAACTCAATGTCAGATTAAAATTCTGGAAAGTGATTTGGATAGCTGAATTTGAGCTCCAACAACTAGAATGAGAATTAGATACCTTTATCCCTTTAATTTGTCTGAGGTGAAATAATTTGCATAATTTTAATTGTTCAGATGGCAATTTTTGTTTGTTTTTCTTTTTTTTAATGTAGATGTGTGTGTAGAACCCAAGCATGAATTATTTTCAGTATTGTTTTTCATTATTTTTCTAATATTTTGTATATAATTTGCAGCATGAATGTTTGCAAAAGTTGCTTCTATATTTCGTGGGTGACCGCTTGAAACCTGGTATAACGATATATGACGTGGAATTACTTTTCGAGAAAAACACAAAAAACTATTTGTACGCGTATTTTGTTAAAATCTTTTTTATTATTTTTTTTTACTGCTATACGTGGTTTTCATTCTTTGAAAATATAAACCTTGTATAACAATTTGAGATCTCCGGCCTATTGAACCAAAAACTCATATAATAATACAGTATACGAGGTTTTTCATTTTCATCTGCAGAAAAAGGAACATTGAACCTCGTATAATAATATATTTTACAAGGTTTTAAATCTGACTGTTTATATACGTGTTATTTAATTAGTGATTTTTGAGTTATTTACAATCAAGCTAAGAATACGAGGTTTTGATCACATGATCTGCGCTCGTAAGAGCTTTTGTATCAAATAGTTAAAATGACCAAATATGGCATATACAAGGTTTCAAGATTTGCGATTTTGTGCATGAGATGCATGGAGATATTTTTTTTTTTATTTTAGAAATCCATAGTTTTTAATTTTTATTTTATTTGACTTTGTATTCAAATTGAAAATCCATCAAAGTAAAATTCCGAATTGCCAAATCCATACCTTTTATTCATTCCAAACTTACATTCAGTCAATCAAAATTCATTCATTCATTCATTCAACCAAATTTTTGAGAGAAAAAAAAGCCGAGATTGTATTCATCTATCCATTCAATTTTCTCATTCATTGTATTCCTTAAAGACGGGTTCCTTCATTTTCATTTATGAAAATGAAAATGGTTATACTTATATGAATAGAAAGTAGGGGTGTTCTAATGACTTGGAAAAATACCAGTTTGTCTCACATGTCCATAATTAATTCATACTTAGTTAAATTAGAAGAGAATTACCAACAGAATTCCAATGAGTGACCGATCAAGAAAGGTCAAAAAGTCTTTTTTGTTTATCCAGACAGTACATACATGGACATTTATGATTGGTTAAAACTCTTAATTATATGCAATAAGAACATAATGATATGATTAAGAATACATGATAATTCATTAGAAAAATCAATTAATCAAATAGTTTGCATAATTTGACATTAAAAAAAACAAGGAAACCCATCTTTAAAGGAATGTCAGATCAGTAATTTTTCAAACTGATATCCTGTAAACCAATTCATTCATTCATTCATTTACTTAACCCTTCATTATTCATTCATTCATCCATTTGCTTATCCCTTCATTATTCATTCATTGATTTACTTAACCCTTCATTATTCATTCACTTTACCCTTCATTATTCATTCATTCATTTACTTAACCCTTCATTATTCAATCATTCATTTACTTAACTCTTCATTATTCATTCATTCATTTACTTAAACCTTCATTATTCAATCATTCATTTACTTAACCCTTCACTATTCACTCATTCATTTACTTAACCCTTCATTATTCATTCATTTACTTAACCATTCATTCATTCATTCATTTACTTAACCCTTCATTATTCATTCATTCATTTACTTAACTCTTCATTATTCATTCATTCATTTACTTAACCATTCATTCATTCACAAACCCTGATATTAAAAGTATTGATATTATGTTTTGTATATACAAGACAGTTGACCTATCTACATGTCTATTTCTATCAATTATTATATTTCACTTTATATGACTACAAGTTTGAATGAACCAATTCAACCTGTGTCAGGTTTAAAGGGAACGTTTGGCCTAATTTTATATTTTAGCAGTTAAGAGGGCCCAAAGTTTGAGGTTTTTTATCTTTTTTATTAAAATTCAGATGTTTTTTAGGGCTAGAAACTGTCCGATTGATTCATAATACTCTTAAGAGATCAGATAACAATGGAGCAAATTGTAGAAATCTAGATTCTTAGAATATATCCAGATTTTAGCAAATACTGTCATCCGTCTGGTTAATAAATCTAAATTGACCAAACAGATGGATTTAAGTTAAGTTGAATAAATAATACCATTTCATTTCACAATATTGTATAACTGAATTTAAATCCAGTTTTTTTATTATTGCAATCTGATTGGCTGATTAAACAAGAATCAAACTTTCTTTTTCATTGGCAAATGAAGCAAGATTGATCTCAGTAATTGACCAATCAGAAGAAGATTATGGGAAATACAGTACCGGTAATTTGATTGACCAATCAGATGACCTGATTTCTTATATCTTTCCAAGTTTAAGGCCCAAACTGGCTAACTGAGAAAATATGGAGGTAGCTGAACAGTCTCTTTAAAGTGATACTACGTCTTAGAATGAACATAAAAATTCTCAAGAATGGTCAATATGAGTATATATTCATCTGTGAACTTACCTGGTGTCATAAAGTTACAACAGAATCCCTGTAAAATCTAGAAAATTGGAAAATTCATAAGATTAAGTAATTATTGAAAAACTCTTAATCATAATATTAATTGCATTTTTATTAAGTTTTTTTTTGGATTTATCAGATTATATAAGGATCCTGTTATGTTATTTATGACACCAGGTATATCTACTGATGAATATGTGCTCTTAATTGGCCAAGTTTAAAATTCTTGAATTTTATGTTTATTCTAAGACGTAGTATCACTTTAAGTATTGAATATTAATTGTTCAGTATATAATAATAGTATTTTATTCTACAATATGTATGTCTCAATTTTTGTCTGTTGAATAAACCCTATTTTATTACTTTTATTTTGTTGTTATAATAACAAACGTGTCAGAATTGAAGTAACCTGGAAACCCCCAAAAGGGTAGAAATGAAATGAATGGAGTTTTACGTCCTACTTTTCTGCACCATGTGGGCTAATGAAGGCTACGACATGCGATGAGGGAAATTTTGTCAGGACAGCGGCATTAGCCTGCTCTTTTTCGATTTCCAACTGTCGAGGGATCTTTAATGTGCACGCAGCCTGCAGCACACGGGGCCTTGGTTTATTGTCCCATCCGAACGGCTAGACGCTTTTTCCATGTCCCTCTTACCTACATCACTGACAGGGGGAAACTGGGTTGAAAAATTCGAAGGTATTATTTCGACCTATGCCGGGATTGAACCCTCGACTCTCAGGTTAGCGAGCAAGCGTCTAACTCACTGAGCCACCGCGGCTCCCTGTAAGATGAGCAGAGACAAAGGATTCGTTCAAATGATTCAATGGAAGGCACAGCGTTTTACTTGTCCAGCCCCTCTTACCTGCATCACTGACAGGGGGAAACCGGGTTGAAAAACCAAAGGTATTATCTCGACAAGAAAAGGGTAGAAGAAATTTGTCTTAGCTTCAATGAAAATAGTGCTTGAGTGCCCTTATGGCTCAGCTGGCTCGGCGCTTAGCCTACAAGCTAGCCTTATGGTTCAAAGATCAATCCTGGCATAAGTGGACAGAGTAACTTCGGAATCAATCCAGCTTCGTTGTGATGCTAGTCTGACTAGTCACTAAGTCAGGGTGCAGCGCTGTGACACTATAGGACTACTGGCTCCGCACTTTAAAGATCGTTCGATTTTACTAAATGGCAAAAATATGGCTAATACTGAAACGGTGACATAGTATTCCCCTCTCTATTTGCCTTATCAGGTGCAGACAGGCCCGTTACTCGGGGCTCAGAATTCGCAGTTATATTCCCATCTCTTGTATTCCTATCAGAAACTAAATTTCAATTGAAGGGAGGTAACTCTATAATTGAAACTATGAAAATACAGACCACCACTGTTGAATATTTTTTTTTTTTTGCAAAAGAATAATACACAAGAAAGTTGTCTTCTGAATCTATGATGCTCTCGTAAAATTAAACAAAATATTGTCGCCATCTTTAGGAACGTATTTACTGATCCCTGAAAATACAGAAAAAATGATTAACTAGCCTACTCCTTTTCATTATAAAATATGAAACCCGTTTTAATAAGGCCGTAGAGAGCCGCGGTGGTTCAGTGAGTTAGACGCCTGCGCCTGTTCGCTAACCTGAAGGCCCAGGGTTCAATCCCGGCATAGGTCGAGATAATACCTTCGGATTTTTCAACCCGGTTTCCTCCTGTCAGTGATGCAGTTAAGAGAGGCTGACATGGAAAAAGAGTCTAGTCGTTCGGATGGGACAATAAACCGAGGCTCCGTGTGCACGTTAAAGATACCTCGACAGTTGGAAATCGACAAAGAGCAGGCTAATGCCACTGTCCTGGCAAAATTTCCCTCATTGCACCCTGCATGGCGTTGCCCGTCTTCATTAGCCCACATGGTGCAGAAAAGTAGGACATTAAACTCCATTTCATTTCATTTAATAAAGCCACACCTTCAAGGATCAAGAGAAGCAATTACCTACCGAAAGGGACCACAAAACCCATTCAACATCCACTCTTTAAAACTTAGGCGACACATTTTCCGTTATAGGCTACAACCTTTAGGAAAACAAAAGACTACCCAAGGGGACCACCACAAGGCCATATTCAAACTCAAGAGAGGTCTTTTTGATCATAACCACACCTTTGGACATGCCTATCCAATTAAAGACCATGCCCTATAAGGAAAGCAAAAGCTAGACCAATTGTTCTCTTATACCCCACAACCAGAAATAAGGTCACAGCTATCCTATAGGTCACGTAGTAGCGTAGGGGAGGACCAGAGGGCATGTGAAGGGTCTTATTTTGAACCATCTGAAATTCGTTGGCGTCTTGGGTCATCGACTCCCCCCTTGCAGATCCTCTAAGAACTACCACTCCTGAAGACTACACCAACAACCCAGATTTTATTTACAGATAATGTTAAAGGACACCCTTTTCTATTTTTCCCCGACCACACCCATTTCTAAAAGAACCCACACCTTTTTTCACTCAAAGTTACGCCCCTTCAATGATAGACCACACCCCTTTTAGATAAGTCACCTACCCATAGAGATGGACTTGTTGTTGACCTGCAAGTCCCAGTAAGTTTTATCCAGTTCGTAGGTAGCCAATTGCCTGTTGATACTTTTAATAATAAAACCTTTTCCTGGATTGTACGTTGCCGAAAACCTAAAATATATAAAATAAGAATTATGTCCCCTTTTTATAGCCTTGGAAATCGCGTGACACTCAATTTTAAGTTTATCTTATGTGGAGGTTGACATGCTAAGCAACGCATAGACCTACTGAAATATCCTTATACCATCAGCTATGTGGACTCTCTGAAAGGTGTTTCGAATTGACAAAGTGACTACTAAACGCTGACTATCTGCCAAGAATCTGTTGTCACAGGCCTACTTTGAGTCAAAGGGAAGTAACTTTAATTGACAAAAGGGGGATAACCCATAATATTACATTAGCATATTATTGATGTCTGCAGCATTTTCAAGATTGCGGACGAGCGGCTGCGGCTTGACGTAATTCAGATCTGTTATGTTTTTGAATGTTGAATGTTTAAGGAAGTTTTGGGCATGCAACCTGACGCTGATAAGACCATTGTTCTTGTCGCATCCACGCAGATCAGACTTACAAGAGTGAAACACACTTACATGAACTTTGGATTCAGATCGGCTGCTTCTTCAAGATGGCGCTCGATGGTAAAGGTACTGTCCGCTTGGAAAAATTCAGCGAAGGAACTGAACTTTGGCACTTTGATGTAATTCTGAACGAACATATTCACCCGGATTTTATCGTTCAGTTTGCAATCACAGTTTTCGTATCTAGAAAAATGGAAAATTTTGTGAGTAGGCTAGTAGGTCTTAGGTCTTAGAAAAGAACCCATCCCAAGACAAGTACTACAATTTTCGCGTTCGATTACTTGCGCCGCGCTTCCACGACAATGTTACACGGGCATTGTTTGACATGCCCTGTCCATATTCATTTCGTATTTGACAACCATGAGACAGCCTCTTCGGCGGCGCAAGTAATCGAACGCGAAAATCTTTTGGTTACAGCATTATTTAACCCTTCGCCTAAATTAATAAAAGCCTACTACATGCTGCTGACATGCACCTGCCCGATTTATAATCCGCTAGGCCTATGACAGTCTATTTAAAATTAAACCAAAGTTTCGTTTTGTTTTTTTGATTAGCTTTTATTTTTAATAAAGTCACTTCATTTAGGGTCTTACGACAACCCTCTTGAACATTCGTCAAATTAACCTTTTTACCTAACCTGATAAACATCGCGTCACAAAATGCCAGTATTGGAAAGGGTAGAAATATGGCTAAAGCAGACGAGTTGGGTCAAAAGGTTAGTTGTCGTTAGACACCAACTGAAGTGGCTATATCAAAAATAAAAGCTAATAAAAAAGGTAACGGAAAAAAAATGAAATGAAATGAATGGAGTTTTAGGTCCTACTTTTCTGTACCATGTGGGCTAATGAAGACAGGCAACGCCATGCAGGGTGCCATGAGGGAAATTTTGCCAGGACAGCCTGCTCTTTTTCGATTTCCAACTGTCGAGGGATCTTTAACGTACACAGCCTGAAGCACATGGGATGCCGTGATTGAACCCTGGACCTTCAGGTTAGTGAGCAAGTGTCTAACTCACTGAGCCACCGCGGCTCCCGATGGGGTGTGGTTATTGATAACCGTTATTTGAACGAAATACAAAACATATACACAGATGGGGTAGAGGCACAGAAACTTAAAATGATGATTAATGACGGAGAATGTCTGTCAAGTCAAGTGTCCAAAGTTAAGGTCAATTTTTATTCAGAGCTAATACTTTCAGGCATAAAAAGAATTACACTTACTTCAGAGTTGCGGATGTTGAAAAACTAAAAATTGAAACGGAAACTATCGTAATTAAAAGCAAACGAAACATTTTGTGTGTTCGTGGGTAGATCAAAAATATTATCGGAAAAAAATCCCAATATTGTAGGGCAGTTAGTGATAACCTCTGACCTCGTGATAAATCTTTATCACAGTTTTAAGATGTTTCATAGACCAGCATCTTGTGATATCATTTACATCTTAATTTTATCTTCGCTATATTAAAGTGATATTACGTCTTAGAATGAACATAAAATTTAAGTTCTCGAAATGGTCAATATGAGTATATATTCATCAGTGAACTTACCTGGTGTCATAAAGTTACAACAGAATCCCTGTAAAATCTGGAAAATTGGAAAATTCATAAAACTAATAATAATTGAAAAACGCTTAATCTTAATATAAAGCGTTTTTCAATAGTTAATTGCATATTTATGGATAATTACTAAGTTTTTTTTATTTAACGGATTATATAAGGATCCTGTTATATTATTTATGACACCAGGTATATCTACTGGCTCTTATTCGCCAAGTTTAAAATTCTTAAATTTTTAATGTTCATTCTAAGACGTAGTATCACTTTAAAGTGATATAGTCGTTTAGATATTTGCTTAACCAGCTGTTACAGATCAATAATTATTTCAGTTATCTGTATTACATTTGAAGTTTGGGGTCTGACTTTTGTTCTATAAAAAGTCTATGTAGGACGTTTTTGTTTGAATTGTGAAGGAAAACGGAAATGGATTCTCATTCAATTATGCAATTTATTAAATACAAAATGGCGTCCAAGAATTTCAAACGACGCGCGGTAAATCACGTGGGCCCAATAGCTTCACCTGACTGGCTGAGTAAGGAGAGCCTTCCCGACTTGCATCATATCTGTCGCCTGGAAGAAAAAGTTACAATATCAACAACCAGTCGTTACAGGACATTTTAACAAGCAGAACTCGACGTTCATGGATTGGCAAAATTCATTCAGTTGCTCATTGCATGTCTTTTCCCATATTCATAAGTCCAAAAAGTGATGTTTTATGTTATCTACCTCTTCGTCTGTCATAACGATCGCGTCTATCATCGTAGTCTATATCACTGCGACGGTCGTAGTCTCGATCATAATATCTTGAATCTCTGTAACTGAAATAAAAAGATTGTTCGTTACTAGCAGCCTTATAGTCCCGATGTTGATACGAGTGACTTCTTACAATGACCAATTCAAATCCTACCTAATCTAGTCACGTGGTATGCAATGCACGTTAAATAAAAAGAATTTTGACATTCACAAGACAGTCCCACCAACGTTGCCAGCAGATCGCAACTAAAGTACCTACTGTCGTCTGTTCGGTCGATACGCTTTGCTTCAAGTGTAAACAATATATTGAGCCGTATTTTGCGCTCTTACCTTGACTAAAGTTGAACTTTGGCTAAAGTCGAACTTTACAAAGTTAGGATTACGGGCCGTATGCAGCGCTCTTACCTTGACTAAAGTTGAACTTCGGCTAAAGTCGAATTTTACAAAGTTAGGATTAAGGCTTTCATTTTCTACATTTGATAGTCAAATTTAAGCACGACTTTCGTAAAGATCGACCTGTGCATGCATAAAGTTCGACTTAAGTCTAACTTCAGTCAAAGTTTAGGTAAAGTACGAGCGCTGCATATGGCCCATTATGTATTTTGAAAAGAAGTACGGAAATTCAGCACCAAATATTAAATGTCTGATGTCCATAAATTTTTAATTCCTAGAAGCTATGGTGTCAAAAGTAAAATAAAGAAATTTGATTTGTGACTTACTAATCATCGCGGTAAGTTCTCGTCACTTTATCAGAGTGTCTGAAAAACAATTTGAACATATTTTATGGTCGAGTCGCCATTCATTTTTCGATGCCGATTAGTTGTTAAGGTGCTAAGAAGAGAACGAATGGCGTGTGTGAGAATGAAGGCTTATAAATACTTACGTAGTTTTCTGGCTTCCAGCACAACGACCACCAGCACGACAACAGAGACAGTACGTCAAGGCCGCAGCCGCACCAAGCAACAGGAGTGACAATAGGGCGGCAAGCAAGCCAATGGATGCAGAATTATCAAAGTAGCTTGAAGAAGATGACGATGATGATGATGATGATGATGCGGCTTGTGTGATGATGATCGTTTGTGTTGTGGTAGTCGTAGTTGTAGTACTGTACGGTTGGAACGTTACGATGACTGTTCCGGTTGACGATTTGACTGGATAACCTTTGTCTTTTGCCTCGATCAAAATGGTTTCGGATTTTCCTCCCATGCTGAAAGAAAACTTAACAATAAAATCTGTTTAATATATATGAAGGAAGTATTTTTAGCAATATCGCGTAGTTTTCCATCTTGATTAGGCGTCAACATACTTTTTTTCACGGTGGACAATGTGGAATTTTCTTACCTCTGCGGATATTTGCTCGAGTATGTAATCCCGCCATCTCCGACCAAGCTGACGTATCCCAGAGCTTGTGAACCTCCCTGGACCGTGTAGGTAACCTCTCCATTAGCACCAGAGTCTTTGTCTAATGCCGTCACTGTACCCAGAGCTCCAAGTTCCTGCGTTTCTGATACGACGAATGACGTCACTGACGACGTAAATTCCGGTGTATTATCGTTAACGTCTTTCACGGTTATGGCTATCTTTGTCGTTCCTGCAAAGGGAAAAAACGTCAAAATATCTAAAGGCTAAGACCGTAAACATTGTATGACCTATGTCCACCATTTATGTTTGCCTACTTCGTTTTGGTGGATTGTGGTTTAGATAGGTATGACGTTTCCTCCATATGGTGAAACTTTGTAATACAGAGCTTTCCCTTTGTCCATCACGAGGGTTATCTAGATGTTAATTTACCTGTCAGTCCGTGTTCATCCACAGCTCCGGCAGTAAGCAGTACGTCAGTCGGCATTGCGTTATCGTCAACGTCATAGTTGATGCCAAATGTAAGCTTCTTGTCGTTGTTGATTAACGAGAATCTCTCACTGTTGTTGCCGGATAGAAGGACGAGGTCAAGCTTGTCGCTGTCAGGATCCGTGACTGTTAAATCCAGATCGCATTGTGATACTCCTATCTGAAAAAAATTCATGTATTGTGTGTGAGGGAAATTTTACCAGGTCAGTGCCAACTTTTTTCAGATTACGAACTGAGGGGGTGGGATATATTGCACAGCCTCGATTGATAGTTCCATGTGAATGATGAGACGTTTTTTTCCATGTCAGCATGGACTCCAACTGCATCACTAACAAGAAAGTTCCGGGACCTTTACAGCAAGCGAAGCCTCGTGGCCCAATAAGCAAAGATCTCATTACCTCTGATTCATAAAGACTACAAGAATAGGATTCCTCTTTGAATATTGGTTCCTCATTCACGTCCAATACGGCAAGGTTGACATAAGCATCTTCATTGTATAAGTAGCCGTCATAGAGGATGCAAGTTATCTTGTACTGATTGGTGGTCTCGTAGTCCAGAGGTTCGGGTTCGTTGATGTCGTCAGCTAATTTGAGCTTATTTGCTTAAAAAGATCTCAATGATTTTAGAATTTTACAAGATGTATATAGCCGTCTAAATATTTGCAATGTCAACAATCCGTACAACTTTTCAGAAAAGCGTATTGGCGGAAATGAAATGAATGGAGTTTTACGTCCTGCTTTTCTGCACCATGTGGGCTAATGAAGACGGGCAACGCCATGCAGAGTGCAGTGAGGGAAATGTTGCCAGGACAGCGGCATTAGCCTGCTCTTTTTCGATTTCCAACTGTCGAGGGATCTTTAACGTGCACAGCCCGTAGAACACGGGGCCTCGGTTTATTGTCCCATCCGAACGACTAGACGCTTTTTCCATATCAGCCCCTCTTACCTGCATCAGTGACAGGGAGAAACCGGGTTGAAAAATCCTAAGGTATTATCCCGACCTATGCCGGGATTGAACCCCGGACCTTCAGGTTAGCGAGCAAGCGTCTAACTCACTGAGTCACCGCGGCTCCCGTATTGGCGGAAGTGAAGAGATTGGTAGTCATGCCCAAATAAGCATGCGATATCCTACTGGTAAAATAAAGTTTACTATGCCCAAAGTTTCAAAAGGGTTTGGACAAGTAAAACGCTGTGCCTTCCATTAAATCATTTGAACGAATTCTTAGCCCACGTTCACGCTGCACCATCACAGACAACAAAATTTGACATTTAATGTCAGAATTATTTTCGACCGAAGGCAAAAATTAGATTCCATCTTCAAAGCAAAATGGCAGCAGGATACAAATAGCGTACAATATCAACAGCAAGCAGATCCACTTACAGTTCGATTCAAATGTGAATTTATATTTCTCCGATGCCGGCCACACCGAGCAAATAGGTTCGATATCCTGGTAAGGGTCGGGATCTGTGAAACTTAAGACTGTTATAACCTTGCCTTCGGGAGCATCCTCTTTGATGGTCAGGTTTGCTGGTAGGTTGGTGAACGTTGGTCGCTCGTTCATATCTGAAAACAACACTTAAAGATGGGTTCCCGTATTTTCATTTATGACAATGGAAATGCTAATACTTATATGAATAGAAAGTAGAGGTGTTCTAATGACTTGGAAACATACCCGTTTGTCTCACATGTCCATAATTAATTCATAATTAGCTAAATTAGAAGAGAATTCCAATGAATGACCGATCAAGAAAGGTCAAAAAGTCTATTTTTGTTCATCCAGACTGAC